CACTCCTGAGAGAGAGGACACTCCTGACAGAGAAGACACTCCTGAGAGAGGACACTCCTGAGAGAGGACACTCCTGAGAGAGAGGACACTCCTGAGAGAGAAGACACTCCTAAGAGAGAGGACATTCCTGACAGAGAGGACACTCCTGAGAGAGGGTCCCCAAGCTGCTTCAGAGAGCTACAGAACAGGGTGAGAGTGCCAGAAGCCATGGGAGTGCTGTAAGGAGGGTTAGCAGCAATGTGTCTTTTACTTTAATAAAAAATTTAAATGCTCATCACATTTTCTGATTATACCTCCTGGATGGAGTAGCTGTGGCTTCCCTGGCCTTGTGACCAAGGGCCGAGTGTCCTGGGCCAAGTCTTTCTGAAGCACCAGGCTCTCGCCAGGGCCACAGGCAGGGTCCTGGCTCTCCTCTCCTGCAAGTGACCTTGGCTGTCCTGTACAGGAGGTAACAACTTGCCTAATGGTCCTGGTCTCCCACAGGCACCTCTGCCGGCCTTGCCATAGCCGCGAGAAGGCCAAGGGCTTGGGCAAGTACATCTGCCAGCGGTGCCACCTGGTCATCGATGAGCAGCCTCTCATGTTCAGAAACGACGCCTACCACCCGGACCACTTCAACTGTACCCACTGTGGGTAGGTGCCCAGCCTTTCCCCTGGTTGGGCAGGGGGGAGTAATGGAGGGGGGCAGGACTGTCATAGAGCAGGAGCAGCAGTGCAGCCGGGAGGTGGGCCAGGTGGACAGGGAGGCTTCCAGAGAGTTGGGTGCAGAGCTGCCAGGCAGGGACGGAGTGGGCTGGGAAGGGGCACAGTAGGAGGCTCCTCTCTGGCAGACTGCAGGGCCTGGGGCTGAGATGAAGGGAAGAGAAAGGGGTGGAGGGAGCAAGGGTCGCACTGGTATTAGAGAGGGGTGGGGGAGAGAGAAGATGCAGAACTGTCCCCGTGGGTCCCCTTCGTGCCTGGCCCAGACACCCAGTCTGCTTTGGAGGAGGAGGAGGCCTGAGAACAGACCTGTTTCTCAGAGGGCTCTGGGGACAGAACACAAATACCCTTCTGCTGGCCTGGGCGGGAAGTCTGTGCTCCAGGGCCTGTCTGGGTGCACACAGGAAGTCTGTAAGGAGGCCAGAGATCAGACGCACCACCGGCCTCTCAGCGCCTGGGGCCCATGGGCTGGAGGGGCTGGGGTAACCCTACAGAGGGGCAGGGTGGCACTTGGGGACTCCTGCTATCTTCCAGAAAAGAGCTGACTGCTGAGGCCCGGGAGCTGAAGGGGGAGCTCTACTGCCTGCCCTGTCATGACAAGATGGGCGTCCCCATCTGTGGAGCCTGCCGACGGCCCATTGAGGGGCGTGTGGTTAACGCACTGGGCAAGCAGTGGCACGTGGAGGTGAACAGGGCAGGGCTACAGGGCTTCTGGTGGGGGCCCGCTGGTTCCTAGTCTCTCTGTTGCACCTTGGCCAAGCTGGACCCTGGCTCCAGCAAGGACCTGCCCTCAGGCAATCCCTCTCCTATACCTCAGCCCACCCATGGGAACTGGGTGACCAGAACCCACAGGCCACAGTCAGGCAGAAAAGCCCATCTTTGCCTTCTTAGGATGATTCTAGAAGATTTCAGAGTCAGCAGAAAACCTGACCTTTATGCACATGGCCCTGTAGGCCTGGGGTTGATGGGCTTCTCGGGGAGGCATGTGGGTCACCTGGCACTTTCCCCAGACTGAAAGCTCTAATACCCTTATGCACTTGGCAAGGAGGTTTGTGTGCTTCAGAGGCCTGACTACCTCTGTGTGCAAAGCTGTGCTTTGGTGGCCTGTTTGAGAAAGTCCTTCAAGAAGCGGTGGGCCAGGGTGTGTCCTCACAGAACTCACCTGCTTCTCGGTGACCTGGGCTGTGGGGACACCAGAGGGGACATCCCCCTGACAACAGGGCAGCTCCCACCTGGGAGGGCCACTGTGCTCCAGCAGGCAGCTGGGGTCTTGTGCTGAAGTTGCTGAGTGGGGAGCCCAGGCCAGAGAGCACAGTGACATGGGATGTCACCACGGATGCACTCAAGTGTGTACCAGGGTCTCCTAAGCCCCTGGGCATCGGCAGAGGTGTCAGCCTCTCTGACAGCTGTGGGCTGGCCTGCCCTCTGCTCCTTGGCTCCTGGGGCTCCTGCTTGGCCTGACCAGCTGGTCACCTTCTGTCCCCTAGCATTTTGTGTGTGCCAAGTGTGAGAAGCCTTTCCTGGGACATCGGCACTATGAGAAGAAGGGCCTGGCCTACTGTGAGACCCACTACAACCAGGTAGGCCAGGGCAGTGACACTGGGGTGCGGGCTGTGGGTGCTTGAGGACAGGGGTGGGCTGGGTTGCCAGGTGTCCAGGCCTGAGGGCAGCTCTCTATTGCAAACCTCACATCAAAAACATGCCCTTTGGGCCCAGGGAGATGGCTCAGTGGTATAAGTGCTTCTCTGGCAAGCACAAGAGCCTGAGTTCAATCTTCAGTTCCAAAAAAAAAAATTAAAAAATTTTTTAAAAAATTCCAAAAACATGCCCTTTGGCCCAGACCTGTTGTAAGGGCGAATCAGATAGCAGTGTGAAGTCTGGGTTTGTGGGGTGACACTGCCTACCTCCCCTTGTCCCGCTGGTCTGGTACAGAAGGTTGGGGAGGCTGCCTCAAACCCCACTCTGTTGGGACACTAGCAGGAGCAGCACTGGGGAGCAGTGCCTTAGCAGGGTCCTCTGCAGAGGGACAGTGTGGGGCCCTGGGCTGTGCAGAAGATGCAGCCTAAAGCCTACTGACAGCTTGCTGTGTCCACAGCTCTTTGGGGACGTCTGCTACAACTGCAGTCACGTGATTGAGGGCGATGGTGAGTCCCCCGCATCCCCAGCTCTGCAGCTGCAGGCCCAGCTGGCCTTGGCCTCCCACAGCTGGGCCCGCGCAGGGCCTGCTAAGCCCCCTCTCCCCTCACAGTGGTGTCAGCCCTCAACAAGGCCTGGTGTGTGAACTGCTTCTCCTGCTCCACCTGCAACAGCAAGCTCACCCTGAAGTGAGTCATGGCTCCCTCGTGCACCAGGAACAAGGGGGAGGATCCCCATAGCCCCCCGTTTCTCAGCCACCTCTTGTATACGTTCTGTGGTCAGCCCTGGGGATGCAACCCAGACAGACAGGCACAGAGAGGGGCGGGAGCACATGCAAGGACTCTGGGCTTGGAGGAGGGATGTCATCCCAGCCTAGGGTACAACAGAGCAAAGGAAATATGTCAGATGGAAGGCTGCACCGGAAGCCTGCACAGGCGGGCTGGGAAGCGTGCTAGGCCCCAGGTTTCCCAAGGGCTGCAGAAAGCCATCGAGGATTCAGAAGCCTTAGTACCTGAGAGAAGCCCACAGGAAAGAAGGGTGGCCTGCCTGGGTCTGGCCTGCTGGCCAGAGGCAGCTTAGGATGGGGAAGCAGGAGCCCACTTTTGCCTCGGGGGCACTGTTGGGGCTCCGGGACATGGCCTGCTGGGCTTCACCTGCAGGAACAAGTTTGTGGAGTTTGACATGAAGCCTGTGTGTAAGAAGTGCTACGAGAAGTTCCCACTGGAGCTGAAGAAGCGGCTGAAGAAGCTGGCGGACCTGACCTCGCGCAAGGCCCAGCCCAAGCCTGTGGATGTGAACTCCACCTGAGAGCTCCTCCCACCCGCCGGCTTCCCTGTCGCCTCTCACGTCTCCGCGCACCCTGTAGCCCTGGCCTTCCTCAGCTGCCCTCCGTCTCTCCCCTTTCTACCTGTGTCTGCCCTCTGCGTGGTCATCTTCCCCTCTGCCAGCTCCTGTCTTCCTGTCTGCGTGGAGGCTGCGCCAGACTCAGCACCACAGCCTGGCCCCATGAGCTCCAGGGACAGCAGCAAATCGGGGCTGGGGCCGCCTGCTCCCACTTGGGCCACAGCTGCCCGCCCACACACCTGACCAGTCCTTGCCACAGAGGCCCTGGTGGCACCCACTGTCCCTGACAGCATGGGCCCCAGAGTGGTCCAGCTGTCTGCATGTGGTGGCCAGCAGGTCTCTGGGACACCCTCAGCCCGTAGCCACTCGCCATGAGGGTCTCTGGCCACACTGAACCAGAGAGCCTGCCATCCCCAATCTGGAGCGAGCTGGAAGGATGAGGCGGCTCCCTCCATCCCTCTGAACCCTACACTGCGTGGCGCCCAAGATCTGCTGTGCTTTCTCTCACCGCACCGCAAGCCACACTAAGCCTTTGGGTCCAGCTGGGGGCTGGAGGGCTAGAGGGCTGGGTTGGAAGGCAGCTCTTGCCTGCTTCAGGATGACCCTTCCCAGGGGCCAGCGTAGCCCTGGCTGAGGCTCCCACTCACACAATGAAGGCTGATCCACCACCAGCAGTGGCCTGGGTGCTTTGTGGGGGCCCACGTGGAGGAGGTGGCGTGGCCTCATGGGCTCTAGGCAGAGTCTACAGAAGGTGGAGCAGAGGTCAGACAGAAGGTGGAGAGCGCCTGGGCTCAGCCTGCCAATCCAGGGAGGCTGGCTGGTTGGGGGCGGGGCCCCCCAGAGGAAGCCGCAGGCAGGATCCTTGTGCTCCTCCACCCTGCCAGCAGGAGAGACACCCATGCTTGTACCCCTCCTCCCGGGAAGGAGAACAGTGAAGGAAGGCTCAAGGCAGGGCCCCGACAACAGAAAGGGAGGGAAGTGGGAGGGAGGGGACAGTGAGGCAGATGCAACCAGTGAAGTCACTCCTGGAGAATGCAGTTGTCACCTGTTTCCATGGAGTCAGCCCTCTGGGGACCAGGGCCTCTTAGGCCCTCCCTCACGTGGAACCCATCCTGCCCCTGCATGACATACGTCCACGCTGTGTGGGTTTTATTGAACGTTCAGAGGAGTCAGCCATCGTCACTGGAGGTCTGACGCTCCAGGGTCAGCGCTCAGGACGGGGTGTCTGGGTGCAGAATACAGTGGGCGTGTGGGAGAGAGTGTCGTGGAAGAGGCCAGGCCCTGAGCCGGAGGGCCCCAGGCAGGTGACTGGGCGGGCAGCGAGGGTCCACTCTTCCTAGGGGTTGGCCAGTGGCGGGCCCCGGGAGCCTCGCTGCTTATTCACCACACTCAGGAGCTGCTGCACGTAGGAGCTCAGCAGGTCGTCCATCTTGTAGCCCTGCGCAGGGGAGGTGCGGGCAGAGGTCATGCGGGGAGGGCCGAGTCTCGAGGAGGAGCGCCCTGCGCCACAAGCCTCCCCGCCTCTCCTGGGCCTCTGCCAGCCTAGGCGGGTCCTGGCCATCCACCCCTCAAGGCAAGCAACTCCCTGGTGGACAGCGCTCGCTCGTGGGCAAGACGGGCTCACCAGCGAGGTCTCGCACAGCAGGCGTTTGCTACTGCCCAGGCTCCCCAGCGCCATGTGGAAGTAGGTGCTGCCACTGCTCCAGCTGGAGAGCTTGGTGAAGGGGTAGGAGGCGAGCAGCTCCTGCGAGCAGAGGGGCACGTGGGTGGGGGCCACGCCGCGGCCGCTCGCTGCCTGCGGCCCTGGGCCAGCCCCGCCGGGCCGCTGCTCTACCTTGGTCTTGGGGTGGATGAGCAGCACCCCGTGTCTGTTGATGGCGATGAGGATGATATCCGGATAGGAGGGCTCCGAGGCTTGCTGCAGAGGGGTCAGCGGTCACAGCCCGGCCTGGCGCCAGGTGGCGCCCCTCCACGAGCACCTTACGTGCCACCCCCACATGCTGCCCAAGGCACGCGCAGGCACACGCTCCTCCCAAGGCTGGTGGCCTGCCCCGTGCTGGAGCGCTCCTGGGGCCGGGCTGGGTGGCCCTGGGGAGGAGGCCTACCTTCACCTCAAAGAAGGCCGAGCCAAAGGTGGGCCAGCGGCAGATGTACTTGAGGAAGGCCACCTTGGCCTCCTGCACCGTCTGGTTCCGGTGCTTGCTGCACTCGAGGAGAAGGCTCTAGGGGAGGAGGAGCCATGAGGGCCCAGGTGGGGGGCCCTGCCTACACGGGGCAGATGGGTACTCTGCCTGAGGTTGGGTACCCCAGAGGCCCTGGCTGCCCATGCGGTCTGGGGGGGGGCAGTGTGAGGAGGGTGTGAGGTACGCAGCCCCCTGCCCACCCCAGCGGTATGCCTGTGGTGCCCAGGCAGGGTCCTGGCAGGGCAGTGGGCTGAGGTCCCGCCCGCGCCTCCTGAGACCTTTCTCCACTCCTCTGAGGACATCAGTCGTGTGAGGTTCTCAGGCACCAGATCCCTCAGGATCTTGGGGACGTTCGCCAGCTGGGACTGGTCATTGTCAAACTGAGCCTTGTAGATGAGGCCAGCCAGGTGGGTGGCATCTTCCCGGGAGCACTTGTGGAACCCACGTAGGTACTTGGGCAGTTCCTGAGCAGTGGACATGACAGGCCTCAGGCTGCCAGCCCACCCTGCAGCTGCACGTGAAGGTGAAGGGGCCTGGGGTGTCAGGGGACTGAGCAGGCCGGAGGCTGAGATCTGTGGGCATGAGGGCGGGGCTCCCGAGTGGGCCCGTGGAGGCTGCATCCATGTGCGTGTGGTTGGCCTCCTGGGCAAGGCCTGCTGGCCACAGTCAGTTGTGCATCGGGTGCGAGCAGACACGCTGTGTCTGGGTCCCGCTGAGCACCACTCCTGGTTCCAGAGCCCTCAGGAGCCAGGCCTGCCCACTTCATGGCCCTGTTGCTGGTCCCCACCCTGGCTGCTGCCTGTCCCGTGGCTCAAGGGTGGCTGCGGCGGCAGTGGCCTTTGGTACCTGGTGGTAATGCAGTATGGTGTCCGCGTTCACATCCTTCCCTGGGACCACGCTGAGCCACAGTTTCCGCATAAAGTATACCTGGTAGGGGAGCGTCGCCGGGGCCCCTGGGCGAGGGGCGGCAGTGGGCACCAGGCTTGTCCCTCAGGCCAGCACTGGCTCCCTCCTGCCTCCCTCCCTCAGCCTCCTTGCTCCTCTGCTGCTCTGTGCCCTCGCGGAGAGAGCAGGGACACCTCCTCCTGGGGTGTTCCCACACCTCCCATGGAAATGGCCCCAGGTGTCCCTTGTCACCCTGGGCACAGCCCCTGTGTGTTCACAGACACACAGGCAATGAGTAAATGAAAGGGATGGGGTGCCGAGGAGGTGCCGGAGCCTGACAGTCCCACCCCGGCCCTCCTCCCTGTCCCTTGGCCTCCACATAGCCCCGCACCTTCTTTCTGGGGCTTGTTCTTCCTCACCCAGTCAGACACCTGCCTCAGGGAGTCGAAGAAGAAGTCTCCTTCCTTCTGGCTGATGACCTGGGGTGGGAAGGGACAGAGGACAGCAGGTGGGGTGGCTTCCAGGGTCCAACAACCACGCACACTGGCCTGGTACGCAGGGCTCAGTCGGGGTCAGAATGGGACTGCTGGTAGCTGGTGAGTGGGAGTCAGGGCAGCTGCGAGAAGCCCCCTTCCCCCAGACAGCCCCAGCTGTGAGGGTCTGGGCTGCACAGCTGTGCTGCACAGGCTGAGGTCCACCTGGTGTCTCTCCAGCCCCGGCCCGCCAGCTGTGCACCTTATCTGCAATCTTGATGAAGAGGCTGCAGCCTTCCCAGGAGGCCAGCTGCAGCCGTGCGGCGACGGCCTCACACACCTCTCGCACCCGGTTGTTGGGGCCCACCTCCAGCATCTGGGCAGAGAACAGCGGGTAAGGCCCAGGGCCAGAGCAGGGCCAGGCTGCTCCTGGAGGCTGTCATGGACCTCACTGCTTGGCATGTGTGCTCCTGTGTGACCGAGGACGGCCCTCCCTTCAGAAAGCTGTCTGGATCGCCACACTGCTGGTGTGGGCCTCGGACCTACCCAGTAGGCCTGGCCTTTGGAATGGCTATGAGAGCCTGCAGCCAGACTGTTAGCGGGACGTGACTGTCCCCAAGACTGGAGAGAGGGTGAGGGCAGCACCGAGGCCACCCAGTCCCTTGGCCCCTCGTTCTTTGCTGCCTCTCAGCCATGGCCTCTTGGTCACCACCTCTATCTCAGGACATATCCAACCTGGGCCCCTGCCCATGGTCCCTGAATGGACCAAAGGCCCTGACACCCCAAACCCTGGGACTCTACCTTGCTGCCCACCCTTTTGGCCTCCTTGCCTGTGTCCTTGGCCTGGCTGCCTTGGAACAGTCAATGGCAGTCCCCCCTCAGTCCTCACCCTCTGCCTGTTTCCTCAGGGCAGTGCTCCCTGGGCTGGCTGGAGCCACTGGGGGTGGGTGCAGGAAGTGGTGACCCTGCAAGGAGGCCCCCCTGCCCAGTGAGCAGGGAGCAGGCTGGGTAGGGGAGAAGCTGAGTGAGCACCGAGCCGGGGACCCACCTCGCTGGTGTCGTTAGGAAAGTAGACCTCATGGCAGATTCGGGAGATGCTCTTCTCAGCGGCGTCCACCTCGACCTGATGTGGGGGCTGCTTCCGGGGCCCTGTCCTGAGCAGAAAAGTGCTGGATGAAGGGGCCGCTATCCCTGCCCCTACCTCCCCAGGGCTCCTAAGCCAGATGCCAGAGCAAGAACCCCAAGTGACTACTGCAGGGGAGGGTGGGCACCGGCCCCTCACACTTCCAGGTGAACCTGGCATGTGCCTGAGTGGCGGTCATAATGGAAGTTGGCCTGTCTGACTCCCAAAGACCCAGATCTGAAGCAGCCCAGAGACCTGAGGCCTGAGTGCCTGGGTGAGGAAGGGCAGGCGTCTCATGCACCATGACACTACGCAGGGTGGGCAGGGACTCCGACAGGGCCTCTTGAAGAGTCCCTGCCCTCTTTGTGGGCATAGCTGCCACAGACACATGGCCATAGGTCACCCACCTCCCCCCAGCCACAGGACTCAGGTGGAGTGCAGAATGAGCCAGCATAGGAAGACCCTCTGCCGTGGAGGGTGGGAAACGGCATGCAGACCACGGGGACAGGCCTCTGGCCTTGGCCACCACGTGGGCCCCAGCGGCTCCCCTGTCCCTGGGCAGTGGTGGTGGGGCAGGGGCACTGTAGGCAGGGCGCCTCCCACTGAGCCTGCCGAAGTCCACCCTTGCTGCCTGCCTGGGGCCTCACCTTTCTCCCTCCACCCGGTGGCTCAGGGCCTGGTTCCACCCCCAAACTGAAATCAGTTTTGGAAGAGAATGCGAGTCCACCCCGCTGCAGGCCTCCCCCTGCACCATGAGATCCTGGGGCACTGGGTGGGCCCCAGGGTGATCCTCTGAGGTGTGAGGCAGTGGCTCACCTCAGGACCCTCTGGATGCGGCGGCTGCAGTCGGGAGCCAGCTTCTGCTTCCTCCGAGAGTCTATGAACTTCTGGGCGTGAGGCAGCAGTGCTTTGCCAGGAGGGAAGAGGCCCGTGCAGAGCCACAGCAGCCGCCATCCGCGCTCCTCACTGTGCCTGCAAGGGGCACCAGTCAGTAGGAGGGATGCCTC